GGCACATGAAAACAGCCCTCAGGTGAGCGGAGCTTGGGAGAAAGTTTTCCCAGGGCCCACCTGACGCTGCCTCACCCCAGCCCCCAGCTCCAGAATGGCAGCTACTGGTAAGAATGAGAAGGGGAAAATTACAGTCATCTGGGAGAAAACTGCAGCCGCCAGGCATCTCCCTGCCTTCCCTGCTTTCTCGAAGACCTGAGCTAGAAGTGTCAGTGAAGTCTGGGGCCCCACTTAGTCCCCCGGGGAAGAAAGGAGGCCATGACCTTCCACTCCAGCCTCCCTGTCACTGATCCCTTTGGCCAGCGGCAGCCGCTCCCACAAACAGAAGGACAAAATGAACGATGGGGAAACTGAGGCCCTGAGGGGGAAGTGGGGCAAACTGTGGCTGGGCCTGGCTCCCTAGACTCCTAGTTGGGCTTCCTCCTGGCCCATCCCCTCTCCCATCCCCCAGAGTATCCTCACTCCCTCTGGTCTGCTCTTCCAGCATGGTGCTGGGGCTGGGCTCCTGGAGGATGTCACCACCGCAGTCAATCTGCCCAAGGAGGTGGGAGCTCCGGTGCCAAGCCTTCCTACTTCTGCTCTCTTGATGGGTGACTGCAGGCTATTCACTCAGCCTTCGGGGCTCTTCCTGAACCTCAGTAAAATCAGAGGCAGCCTGGGCTAGGGAATGTTGACTTCCAGAGAGAGGGCTGGTCTTAACAGACATCAAGGGAGCAACCTTTCTCTGGGCCTCAGTTTCTCATCTGGAAAACAGGGGCGCTAACTGGGAGACTTCTCTGGACCATTTAACCCTGATCCAAGGGAAGCCCTCTGCACTGAGACCACAGTGGTAGCACCTGGAATCTGGCCTCTCCGCACTTGGGAGGGCAGGGACTGCGTCAAACTCCTCTCCTCCGCAAGTCCAGCACAATGCCTAGCACACTCCAGAAACATCCCAGAGCTGGATGACCTTCCTGGGAGGGGCTGTGTAGGAGTCTCTGAACTATCTTAAACCAGGGGCTCTGCCTGATGACCCAGAACTTCTATCTATCCATCCTTACTGCCTACTCTGAGCCTCGCTCCCTGAAACAGATGACTTTTTATAGAGCAGATTCCACATTTCTTCACAAATGTTGCAAGCCTGCCGGCTCACCCGGTTTGCTTTTGGCTTTGAATTTGTTGTGAGGACTTCTAGGAAATCAGCAATGAGTGATTCTAATAATTGCTTGTTCTTGGAAACCTCCTAAAATAACTTGGCCAAATGAGGGTGGGGGTAGGGCAGGGCAGTCCTCTAAGATGACATTTCTCCACCATTCCATCCCAGATCTAGAGTCCCAGTTACTCATAAAAGAAGTTTTTGTATGCATAGTTCCAAATGTTAATGAATTTCCAGGAAATATCACCAAAATGATGTTGGCATCGTTAAGATGTGTTTTTCAAGAACTCTTGCTAGCTGCTCCCTTTTCCTGCGGGCTCCAACTGCATAAAATAAGTCAGTTTCTGGGATATATTATTGGAGCTGTGTCTCAATGGCATAACTGATGAAATCAGATTCTCAGAATCTCCCAGTCTAGAGACTTCAGAGTCCGCTCATGCAGATACTGCGCATTCTCTCCTCCCAAAGTTGACACTTTCCATAGCTTCGACTCTATCCACCCATGGAGTCCTTAGGGCTTCTGAGAAAGTCAATATTTTTGGCCTTATTTCTTTAATTGTCATCTCTCTTCAGCTTAGTGGACAGTCTGGTGTCAACTGAGTTCCTGAAGGACCACAGCTATCATCAGGGTGCTTGGGGCAGAGTCCCAGCCCAGAAGGCAGCTCCATCTGGGAAGCTGCCATCATGTCCCCATGTGTTTGGAGGCACCCCTTGCCCCCCATGCTGTCTTCACACCCATCGTGACGGCCTGGCCCTGTCTCAGTCCCAACCTCAATTGCGCTTCCGTTGCTAGAAAGAGGCAACCAGATCTGACCAGCCTCAAGGTCACAGCTTCACGCCGGTCTGGTGAGTGGGCGTTTAGCACCTTCCCCTGGGAGAGGAGCTAAGCCACAGAAACGAGCTTGGGTTACATTCCAGGGTCCAGCCAACTTGGCAGCCCCATGGGTCAAGGCTGGTGTGCAGCCAGCCATGAGTCCAGCACAACTAAAAGGCATAAAACAGTGCTTTGCTGCACAGATACCCTCTCATGGGCAAGCTTCATCAGCAGTGCCACCCACAATCCATTATTTCGGCTGCCATGCTCTTCCTAACACTGTTCCTCCTGCCAAGAGTCCCTACTCCACATCTTTCTAATGCATCTGGAACCCAGCTTCCTATGGGGTCCAAATGCTACCTCTGGTGTGGCTAGTGAGGAGTGCTGAAGGCCATGGGTGGAGAGCAGAGTCTCCTCTGCCATCTCCAGTCTCAACACACCCAGTCCTGCCCAAGCGAAGTCCTGTCCAAGAAAGCCTTGAGGCTTTCTCACCAGTTCTGCATGTGTGAGCTTCATCAGAGACTGGAGCTGAGGTTTCAACTCTGAAACATCAAAGGGACCCTTCATCATTGACATCTGAGCTTCATCAGAGGCTGGAGCTGAGGTCTTGGCTCTGGAACATCAAGGGGACCCCTCATTCTGGATGTCCAAGTTTTATCGAAGACTGGAACTGGGGTCTCAGCTCTGGAACATCAAGGGGACCCTCCTTCTGGATGCACAAGCTACACTGGAGTCTGGAGCTGAGGTCTTGGTTCTAGAACATCAAGGGGGCCACTCATCAAGGACATCTGAGCTTCACCGGAGGCTAGGGATGAAGTCTTGGCTCTGGAACATCAAGAGGACCCTCATTCCGGATGCCCAAGCTTCGTCAAAGGCTGGAACTGGGGTCTCAACTCTAGAACATCAAGGGGATCCTCATTCTTTATGTTCAAGTTTCACTGAAGGCTGGAACTGGTGTCTCAGCTCTGGAACATCAAGGAGACCCTCCTTCTGGGTGCAGATTGAGCAAAGTCTGGAGCTAAGATCTTGGCTCTAGAACATCAAGGGGCCACTCATGGACATCTGAGCTTCATCAAAGGCTGGAGCTGTGGTCTTGCCTCTGGAACATCAAGGGGACCTTCATTCTGGATGCAAGATCTTCATTGGTGGCTGGAGCTGGAGTCTTGGCTCTGGAACATCAAGGGGCCCCTTCACCATGGACATCTGAGTTTCATCAGAGGCTGGAACTGGGATCTTGGCTCTGGAACATCAAGGTGGCCCATCATCATGGACATCTGAGCTCCATCAGAGGCTGGAGCTGGGGTCTCAGCTCTGGAACATCAAGGGTCCCTTTATCATGGGCATCTGAGCTTCATCAGATGCTGGAACTGCAGTCTTGGCTCTGGAACATCAAGAGGACCCTTCATCGTGGACATCTGAGCTTCGTGGGAGGCTAGAACTGGGGTCTTGGCTCTGGAACATCAAAGGGGCCCTTCATCATGGACATCTGAGCTTCATGGGAGGCTGGAGCTGGGGTCTCAGCTCTGGAACTTCAAGAAGGCCCTTCATCATGGACATCTGAGCTTCACGGGAGGCTGGTGCTGGGGTCTTGGCTCTGGAACATCAAAGGGGCCCTTCATCATGGACATCTGAGTTTTTTGGGAGGCTGGTGCTGGGTCTCAGCTCTGGAACATCAAGGAGGCCCTTCATCATGGACATCTGAATGTCATCAGAGGATGGATCTAGGGTCTCAGCTCTGGAACATCAAGAAGGCCCTTCATCATGGACAGCTGAACGTCATCAGAGGCTGGGGCTCTGACCACCACGGGCAGGATTCTTCCAGCTCCTTGGCCCCACCTTGGCTGGAATGGACTCATCTCAGTGGGACACACTCTGGAGGCCATCTTCCTCTTGTCTCCATGCTGCCTGGACCATACTCTGTACCATGAGTCTCATCATCTCCATCGGGGACTGGGGTCAAGTCTCCTTGGCTGAGACATGGCCATGGGCACCAAGGCGGTTCTTTCTTTCTGCAAAGGGGCCATGCTCAGCCCCATGCACTCATGGTGGGACTCTCCTGTAGTTCTCTTGAGGCACCTCCCTGCGTGGGGGAGGAGGAGGGGAGGAAGATGAGAAGAGGAATAGGAGGAGGAGGGGGCGGGAAGAGAAGGTAGGAAGAAGAAGGTGATGAAGGAGGAAGGAGGAGGAAGAGGTAGGAAGAAGGTGGAGCAGGAAGGAGGAGGAGGTGATGGACGTGGCAGTGGTGGTGACTTTTGGTGTTGATGGTGGCAGTGGCAGAGGTCAGCCTCTCCTTTCCCACTGGTTGCATGTCCAGTTCATCTGCTCCAGCAAAGCCGGGTGTGCTGACCCCCAGGACTCCGTGTGGACTTGGATCCACAGCTCCCTTGCCCTTGCTCCTCTCCGTCACCACTCGGCCAACAGCCTGACTTCCCTGAGCTGGGTCTTGGAGGCACCAGGCTCGGTGCCCATGCCAGGGGGGACGGCGGCTGCATCTGAGGCTCCACCCCTGCAGCTTCCTCAGGGTCCCGCTGAGCTCAGTAAGCATCCTGTGCGGTGACCGTTGGCCCTGGGTCATACCCAGGCTGGCCACGCACTCACCGTCAGTTTGAGCAGGACCACAGCTCTGCCCGGCCCCTGCTGGGCCCTGGGAGTGCAGGAGGAGGGGAGGAAGAGTTGCAGCCTGGGGGCAGCCCCTCTGGGGCTCTGGGGACCCCCGACGCTGCGCTCAGCTCAGACTTCCTCCACTCCCCAGCTTACATTCCTTTCTGGAAAGGAACGTGACATCCCAAAACCATTAGAAGGAGGGGGACCAGCCCGAGTTAGTTCACCCCAACACGCATCCACCACAGGAGGTCAAAGCTGGCTCCCCTGCCCTCCCCGCCCTCCACATGCCCTGGATGAGAGCAGCCCCAGCCAGACAGGACACCCGACATTCAGCCCTCCTCATATTAGTAGCACATCCATCACTGTTTTTGTTAAGGCAAGAAACACATTTATTGAGAGCACAATAGGGTGTGCCAAGCCCCAGGTCAGGCGCTTTCAAACCACATCGCTCGCTCCTCACAACAACCCTGTGAGGTAGGTGTCCGAGCCCACTCCTCAGGTGTGGACAAGTGAAGGCTCGGCGGCTCCCCCAAGTCTCAGGGTTCATGAGGGGTGGGTAGGGGTCCAGCCCACGTGTCTGAGCCTCAGATCAGTGAAGTCCATCAGTCAGAGGGCGGGTGGCTACGCAAGGAGAGGCCGGGAGGGCATGCCCCTCCTCGCAGGGGGCGGCCCTGGTCCAGAGTCTTTGGGTCCGGCCTGTCCCGCGGGAACGTGTGCTGGGTGTCCCTGTGGCTGTGGAGGCTGAGAGAGACACAGGTGCAGATGAAGGGGCCCGCTCCCGGTCTCACTGGCTGACAAGAGTTCTCATGCAGACAGGCAGGCCGGGGGGGCGAGGAGAGGAGAGACACCCCCGGGGACTGGACACCCCTGGACACCACGGGGAGAAGGCCCTGGCTCCCAGCAGCCTTGGGGGGCCAGGGCAGCACCCAGGCACCAGCTCCTGCCCCCTCCAGCTAGTGCCCCTCGAGCTCTGGGCTCCCACACATCACCACTTCCCCCGTCTCCCCCACCTGCAGAGACTTCCAGAAGCGTACCCTTAGTCCTGACGCCCTCCCGCCCCTGGGACCTCTGAAGGTTCTCACCTCACTAACCCAGAATCTGGACCTCTTGGCCTTTCTAAACACCACCCCAGCTATCCTGCCAATTAAACTTGGATGTTCTCTAAAATATCAGCCTCCCCATCCCCTGGGGGGTCTCTAAAAGTTCTCCCTGATCCCACCCCCTCCCCCGACACCTCTGGCCTCAATCCCACCCCCTCTGACCCTGCTAAATCTCTGTACTTAAAAGCAAACCCTTCCCTCCCTCGCTGCCTCCCCAGAGCTGGCCGCGTGCTTCCCTGACGCCCTCCGCTCCGCACACCAGCCACTTGGGCCACTGTAGTTCCGGGGAGCTCAGAGCTTCTGTGACCAGCGCCCATAGGCTGCAGGGCACTGCGGTCAGACCCAGGGTTCACCAGAGAACAAGGGGCGAGGCCACCCGTGTGCCAGGTAACAGAGCATTTATTTTCACATAAACAATCTCATTGAATCCCACAATAACCGTGCCAGGTAAACGTGACTATTTCCAGGTTACAGGTGAGCAAAAAATCGGCCAGGCCACACACACACACACACACACACACACACACACAGGCCCCAGAGTGACCTCAAACCCAGACCTTGATTCTCAGAGCCAGCATATGGGGTGCAGCAAGGCACGCAGCCTGCACTCAGGGGTTACCAGCGTCCTTTGAGTGGATACTATCATTCAGTACCCATTCTACAGGTGGCAAAACCAAGACTCGGGGTGCCTGTAACCTGCCCAAGGCCATTGCCCTGGCAAACGGTGACACCAGGACCAGAATTCAAAAGCGCAAGACCTCCAGGTCCCATCCCTCAACTTGTGCCTGGGTACTGTGCTTTGAGGGTGAGAGCAGATAAAAGGAACCAAGGTCTGGAGTCCAGTCCCCCCTCATTTTTGGGGTGCCCACGGCTGCATCTCGGACTTGGCATGTGCCTTACAGGTTGTCACCAGTGGTGGAAACAAAGACGTTTCAGGTGGAGACTTCCACACCCTCAGGGCCCACCGCCAGCCACAGAGAGGGTATTGGCTAATATTACCAGGGCCTCCCTCCAGCCTGGGCATTACCAAATGCCACATTATCAAAATCACTTGGGCCACAACACAAACGAGGACACTTGAGCCTAAACAAAGTTTTATTCTAGACATAAACACTTCAAAAATGTGCAGAAGACAAACATTTCTATCAGGAGGGACCCTCCTCTGGGCTGCACCTGCCCCAGGGGGAGCCCCCACCATAGGCGGAGACCCTCAGGATTTGCCCTGAAGAGTCTTTGCCAAGAAAACACAGTTTCCAAAAAAAAAAGAAAACACACTTTCCTCCTAAAGAAACACCTGTGGATTCAACTTGCATATCAGCCAACCGTCAATTCAGTTCTTCACGTCCGTGAAAAACCCTGCCTCGTCAGTCAGTGAGCGTCTATTAGGTGCCTACTAGTGTGCAGTGAAGGGTCAGAGAAGCACAAATCTCAGAGTAAGGGTTCAAGTACAGCTTGGCTGTGACCCCACTGAACCTCTGCTCCCTCACCTGCCCTCAGGAAACGGGGACCCAGCCCTGCCCCTTTCAAGGGGTGGGTGACGTGTCCACACTGGGCCCCTGGGAGACTCCCTCATCCTGGGTCACACACAAGCCTAAGCTTCCAGGAGCCCGAGGCCCATCGGGGAGCAGATACCTGAACACAGACTCAGAGTCCCCTGGGAGGAGGGCCCTATCTACCCGTCCCTCCTGTGGGGGTCCCTCGGGAGCACCAAGGCAAGGCCCCCCTCTGCTCAGACATGTTCTCAAGGACGTGGATGTCCACAGGGCAGACAGCAAACAGTGACACAGTGAGGACCCCCTCAGCTAAGCCCAAGGGAGGGGAGTACCAGGGAGTCGGTACCGGTGCTCCTGGAGTCGGGTGCACAGGGCTGGAGGCCAGACCTCACAGTAAAAGCTCAGGCAACTGAAAGAGCTGATCAGGTGGACAGCAGTGAGGGCCACAAAGAGCGGCCAGGAGGCAGAAAGAAGGGGAGGCCAGTGAGGCTTCCACAGAGGTAGGGCAGGGCAGGAGAGGGGCTGGGGCTGCAGACGGTGTTTGGGGATGACAGAGCAGAATGCTGCCCCCCCACAAGCATGAGACAAGGGCCAGGAAAGAAACTCAGCGGTCTCCTGAAGAGACCTCCCCAACCCAAAATGACCCCCCATATCTTCTCAAGTGCAGCCAAGCTTCCAAGGCCCACTTGGACCCAAGTGAGCCGTGGCACACTGCGACCCCTGCCAGGGGCAGGGCCAGGTGCGCACGCGGGCCAGCAGAGGCCGGCCGCAGTAACCGGGAGAGATGGGCTGGCAGGGTCAAAGGGCACCAGCTCCTCTGGCAGGACTATTCAGCCCTGGCTCTGACCTCCAGCTCTCTCTGAATCTCAGCTCCTCATCGAGAAACCGGGCCCACACCCCCAACCAAGCAGCAAGCTTGCAGGGCATAGTGGTTCATAGCCCTGCCCCGGCTTGGTTCCAGGCCCCCAGACGAGCCTGCGGACCGATTTCCTCACCTTACAGCCAGAGAAAGAAGGAAGAGGGGTGAGAGGAAGTGAGCACTGAGGCCTTTCCCCTAAAGGGCAGAAGAAGATGTCCTCAAAGACATCAGCAGAAGCCCCTCTAAACCTCTTCCTGCCGGGCAGACTCGACCAGGGGCACGCACAGGTGTCTGCAGAAGCCCCCACAGTCAGACACGGCATGAACAGGTACAGCAAGCCCGAAGCAGTCTCCCCAGCCTGCTGCCACCCCCACGTGACAAGCAGCAGCCTGGATGGAGCGCGGGGTGGTGCGGGGCGGGGAAGGGGGGGGCTCCAAGGAAGGGAAAAAGCTGTCACTCATTCATCAAACCAGCATTTACCCTGGGCCAACTTGCTAAATACTCGCAGACCGCTCAGCCTCTGTCTTACACGTTCCACTGACTGTTGAAATACAATCTGAGCATAAAATCAATGCTGACTTTCAACTCACTTAGAACCCGCAAAGGCTGGGAACTTTCCGGACAACCCCCAACATACGACGATCCTCAACGAGAGCCAGCGTTTCATCAGCTCTGTTATAGCTGACCCAGCCCCTGGCCTCCCAACCACCCAGTGGAGGGAACTTTCTGGTGACCCATCAGAGAAAAGGAGACCAAGGGTCAGAGAGGAGAAGTGACTTGCCCAGCACTGCACAGTTAGGTGGCCCCCGGGTCTGCCGGGTTCTAATTTCTAACACAGAACACAGACAGCTAAAAAGTTTCATCACACGACACCCCAAACAAGAATCCTGGTTTTCAAACAACACGAGTCATACAGAGGTCCATAAGATACAATACAACAATTGTTAACAGGTTAATCAGGAGCGAAATACAAGCTCTTAGTAAAGGTTTTAACATCTGCCACTTGCATTTGGTTACAATCCATTATTTGGCCATTCACCCACGCATCCATTCAACAAAAATGGAAGGCGACCCCTACCACTGGCTTGGTACTGTGTTAGGCACCCAGGCTGCTGGCATTTGAGCCAAAAAGGTAATTGAGAGCGGGGACATTGCGGTGTCTTTGATGGCTGGTGCCTAGTATTTCAGGGGGGAGGACACTGCCAGGAGAGATCTCTTGCGGAGGGAGGGACGTGTGTAAGTGCCGCCCACAGGCCAGACACAGCGGTAGGCAAGACCCAGTGGGTGCTTCCGACCTTTAACAGAGGTGAGCGTGAACGCGTACCCCAGGGGGGGCAAGGGTGTTGCCCAAAGAGGCCCCATCCCCCCGGCATAAAGGTCCCTGCCAAAATTACTCCTATCTAACCCTGCAATGTCAAAGCAATTTAGCACCCTACCCCACGGTGCCCCCTGCACGTCTAGCAAAGCCATTCCCTGCTAACCTGCTGAGTCAGGCTGCCCCGCCTGGCCTGCCATCCCACCCCCAGCAGCCCCCGGGGGCACGCGCACCACCTGGTCAGAATCCCAGTTCAAAGCCCTGGTTACAGCAGTCCTCACAACAGCCCTGCGAGGTGGGTGCCACTGTCCCCCCAGAAGACAGACTCAAGCTGTCGCGGTCAGTTTAAACCACACACGTTTGTCCAGCTCCAGGGTCCTGGCTTTGCTCACTACGCCCTCTCTCCGATGCAATGAATACACAGCAGAATTCTAAGAAGAGGCCCCAAGACCTCTGCCTTGTCCCACACAGGCAGCAGTGAGCTAAAGGGGTGGGGGTCGGGGGGGGGGTGCCTGGGACCCACATGAATGCTTGGGGCCACATCCAGGGTTTGCGAAGTACCATATGTCTTGGATGCCCAGGTCTGCCAACAGATAATTCTGTGCAGACCCCCGCACAGGGCATTGCTCCTTGTCACTTCCGTGAGCAATCATCTCTCCCAATTTCCTCTAAATAGAGCCCAGCATTAACTAATTTCAAAAGGGACAGGAACGGCTCTAAGCTCACCACCAGGCAAGATCAGGGTGTCCTAATGACTTAAAAGCCAGCTCACGGCCGGAAGCAGCCGTTCATCTCAGACCCCCTAGCCGTCACTCTGGCCTCTTGAGGACACAAGTTATGATTTCTGAACACTCAGGGACACGGTTTGCTGATTACCAATCAACCTAGTTTTGTAAGGAACAAAGTCAGGGAAGGCAATCAAACTTCCAACGGAACTCGGATCTCGAAGTTGGGGCTGAACCAAGGGTCGAGCC